CTTTCAAGAGCAAGCGGTTTGCGAATCCTACATTGAACTGCGAGATTTGAGGAGCAGTCGTCAGTAAAATAAAGGGAACACAGCTAAAGTTTAGGATTATACTGTTGTGTTATTGTGGTAAAGATGGATTTTAACCACTGATTCTTCACATGCTCGTTCTTGGGCAGTGTAAAAAAAAAAAACTGGCTTTACCTTCACATTGTAGAGCACAGCGTATTCTCGACATGGTGCAATCCAGTATCCTCAGAAATCAGCTGCCGGTTTGAGGGGGTTCAAGTTTTCCCCTTTGTCTGGGCGCCCAATAAGTGGATTGGCAATATGCTGATGTTTCGTCTTGACGAAACGGCTTATGACTCATTTGAAAAACGATTCATTTCATTGACTCAGAGTCGACTCTTACTTTTGAAAGACAATAACTTTATATGCAGTGCACTTTCAGATTTAAAACTTTGCAGGATGTTTTCATTCTATGCTATGTTAAACACTACATGAAAGGTCATTTTCAAAAATCAACAATAGGGGCACTTTAAGAAATGGTTAAGGGTAGGAGTGGGATTAGCGTCTCAAACTATATTTTTAATGCTATTGTGGCAAGCAAGGCGAGTCGAGAGCTGCGAGAACAGGCGAGGCCGGTGGCGTGATTGCTATTGAGCATCACCTGCATGTCACACAGGTCTTGTATCTCTCACGGAGTAGATCCGGTTGGATAAAAGGAGGACGAGAGAGGACCAGGCCTGGACTATTTTACGTCTTTTGTTTATGTGTGTGTGGCAGTCGTCCATGAGGGGCTGCCGCTTTACTTCCTTTTTGTGTGTGTTTTTTTTTTTTGGGATTAAAGTGTGTGAACGTTCGCCAGTTCCCACCTTCCCTGAACAACATACCCCATTACAGCTACAGTATTGTTCCTAAAAGTGTAATTTTACTGCACATTTCTGTCCAGTACGTTTTATATATTTTTTTTTATTCTCTATAAAATGGTTGTTTGGTTTTGGGGGTAGGGTTAAGGGATCTATCTATCTGTTTTTTAGCTTTAAATGCGTAATATTGTTTACGTTTAAATGTCAATGCATCTATCCAAAGGTACAAAAATGTATGTTTTGCACCTGAAAATGTTACGTATTGATACCTACATATTAACAATGAGACCAGGTGCAGAGGTGGGCACAAATACATCAAAAAATATTTTGTTACAAAATACAAATACTGGCTCATGAAATGTAACAAAATAAAATACAAAATACTGATGTGAAAAATCTATTTAAATAAAATACAAGTAATTAGTATTTTGAAAATACAAAAATACTCCCACAATAATCTTAAGTCTTTTTTTTGTATTACTGAAAGGTCAATAACACAAATAGTAGCAATAACAGAAATATGATAAATGTGTAAATTCAAAATGGCGAAGTAGCAAAATAAAAAAGTATGGGTATTTCACTAAATCTCTACAGGGCCTGAAATAGCTCCCTCTGACGTAAATGGCATGTATAGCTAAGTTCACATCAATGGTGTGGTAGTTTTATACAAAATCAATATCAATATTTCTCATATGTAATACGTTTATATTGTGAACGCTTGCTTAGCATGAAGATTTCAGTCGAGTTACGACAGACGCGCTGTTTCATAATAGGTAGGGCATATGATGTCCTTTTATGAATGACAACATAAGGCACAATTATTTTCTCTATAATGCCATTCAGTGTGCAATATGTGTGTGTGTAGACTGTATATTTTTCACAAAACACTTTACCTTAAAGGTGCTATCAGCGATTTCAGGCCCAAAAAAGGCCGAAACATAAATTATCACATTCATCTAATTTTTCCTAGGGGGAAATCACCGACAGGGTGTTGTGTTGCAGGGCAGGTTAGTTGAAAATGTCGGTCAGGTGCGGTTTGTTTATACATTGACCCGCGCATCACCAGTGTTGGGAACGTTACTTTAAAAAAGTAATTAGTTATAGTTACTCACTACTTGTTCCAAAAAGTAACTGAGTTAGTAACTGAATTGCTCTATAATAAAAGTAACTTGTTACCAGGGAAAGTAACTATTTGCGTTACTGTTAAAAAAAAGTTGCTATCTGTCAAAGAATTTGGATTTTTTTTAGCAGTTTTCACAAGTCAGTTGAAATGAGTAGAACAGACAGGTGTTTGTACATAACTTTCGATATTTATTGCACGTCGACAGACAGCAAGAGGTTTATCCTGCACCTCAAGTATTATCTTTGTAAGAAAAGTAAACAGTTACACCATATAAAGTGCATTTAACTCTAGCGAATTAAATCAAACTCTCTCAACCTGAGACAACTGGTCAAGTTAACAACCTGTACTTCCAAGTATTTTGTTCACAACAAAAGTAAACTTTTAAACTACAAATTCTTAATTAAATAAATCAAACTCCCAATGTCAGACAACTGGTCTGGTAGAAATTCTGTACTTCAAGTATTTTCTTTAAAAGTAAACAGTTAAATAATATAAAGTGTGTTTGCAGTAACTGTAGCAAATTAAATAAATCAAACAAACTCTAACAACCTAAGATAAATAGTCTGGAAGACATAGGCTGCTGTATTTCTTTATCTTCATTAAAAAAGTAAACAGTTTAACAAGATGGAGTGCTTTTAAAGATTGAACTTTAGCTCCTAGATATAGCTGTATCTATATATAGGGACACGTTTGTGTGCATTTTATTTTGTGATTTCACCGGAATGAATAGTCTCCGCAACGGCGATAGATTGAAGCGCTCGTCCGAGTGAAGACTGCGCGCGCCGCGAGCCACAAGAGAACAACTGTATCCATGACACTGATCGCAGCAGCACGAGCGCTCAGCTGGATCTCAAAAACAACAGATTTAAGCGCTAGATCTCTTATTTAATAGCGAACTAAATGAATGCTCTGCTAGTTAACTGGATATGTTTTATTTATTTGTATTAGGTATCCGTTCTATGACATTAGTATATTTTTTACTAACCGTATATTTACGTATATTGCGTTGTTGTACCCAGCACTTCTGAAAGTGCACTTCCGAATGCGTCTCTGTCCGTCCCCCACACTTTTCAAACCAAACTGACGCCCATGAATCAACGCATAGTAACGCACCGCATTTAACGTCCAGTAACGTTAACGGCGTTGTAACGACGGAAAAAGTAATAAGTTAGATTACCCCGTTACTGAAAAAATAACGTCGTTACCTAACGCCGTTCTTTTAAACGGCGTTATTCCAAACACTGCGCATCACTGGTTCCAACCAATCACCGACAGGGTGTTGTGAGGTTTTGCACTCGTGCACGGCTGCACGCGAAGTCGGAGCAAAACCTCACAACACCCTGTCGGTGATTGGTTGGAACCAGTGATGCGCGGGTCAATGTATAAACAAACCGCACCTGACCGACATTTTCAACTAACCTGCCCGCAACTCGGACCGCAAAAAAAAGCATTTTTTAAAAGTAGTAAATGCTCACCGTAGCGTCATTGGGCCATAGACGTATAGGAACTTGGGGTGCGGGGGAGTGTGCCTGCTTTTGGAAAAGTGTAAAAGCCCTTAGGAGCGCAAACTGTTCTTTTTCTGAATGCTGTATGATATAGCCTAGTGTTATGTAATAAAGGCTTGATTTATTCATTTATTTCGTTTCATTTTCTTAACAATTAAGATGCTGCATGTGTTTATCCAGTCTAATCTAAGTGTGCGTCTCTCCCCCGACTTTCCCAACAAAAATCCCGCCCCCTCTCAGAAAATACACTGACATTACTGAGCTATATGCGTTTAAAAGTAGCCTATTAAAATGGTACAATGGCATTGCTCAGTTCAACGTGTTGGGAAATCGGGCATTTTACGTCAGCATTTATTCAAAAGTTAATAATGCTCAATATTCAAAAGGTAAATAAGGATTTCCCACTTGTATTAGTAGGCAGCTCGTGCGTCATCTTCGCGCCAGTTATTCAGTCAATAAAGTATAAGTTAGGCCTATGTATTTCATAGAAAATTGTGTCAAGTAGGCCTACTATATAAATTACAAAGGTTTAATTGGCATTTATATTTTTTATATTTCAAACGACCCGACCGACCGCGACCCGAATATCATAAAAAATATTTTTGGATGACTCGTAACCGCGGGTGACCGTAGGCACCCGCTCATTTTGGATCAACCCGCGCATCACTGGTTGGAACACTGTTTGTTTAGGTTTTGGTGGTTGGTGAAACCCATTGTTTTTGTGTGCAGATCTCAGAGCCTAGACGCGGTTTTTGGACGGCATGCTAATGGGGCGGGCAGCTACCGGATCGCTAGGAAAAATTAGATGAATGTGATCATTTATGTTTCGGCCTTTTTTGGGCCTGAAATCGCTGATAGCACCTTTAATGCCGTTTTTAAGAGGAGCAGCGCCACTTCTTCTCCTGTGTTCAAAACTCATTCACTTCTTGGAGGGAGCCCGGTCTACAGGGTGTCAAGTGATTTTCGTGCATCTAACCTGGACATTGCCATTGCTAACATCAGACCGAAAATATGGCAAAATCTTTTACTATGGTGATTTTTCTTAAGTATTTAAGTATTTGAAATACTCAAATACACTGCATTTGCTATTTAAACAACGTGGCGCAGGACGTGAAAATGATAACTGTGTCGGGCTGAAACTAGCAAAAAACACTTGCGTCGTGCCTGGCGCCGCATTGCGCTACCGGGCAATGATAGGGCCCTAAGGGAGAACTGAAGGCTTACAAGCATGAACAAACAAAGGGAACTAATAAGTTGATTAACAAGTAAGAGGTGAATTAAATTACTAATTTAACAGACAACTAGAAACAGAAAACTAGGCCACAGGACAAAAATAAGTAAATCGCAGGAAAGTGGATCTCGAGGGCCAGAGTTGCCATAGGGAAAGTAATGCTGCTTCCAAAAAGTCTTTATGTAAAGTTACATGTAACGTTACGCATTACTAATCACAGAATAAAAGGATGAGGTGATTGCCCACTTGTTTTATGTAACTTTATTTGTGTGATAGGGTCTTACCTCCTGCCGTTGGTCTTTGGAAGGGGTCAAATAAACGGCACGCATTGATGAGCCCTTTTAGCTGTTTGGGACAATCTGTAGGAAGTGGCTCCATGACCTTCTCTACACACACTTTTTGATAGATCTGACTGTGGGAAGAACAGTCTAAAAACACAGGCACAGAACATTTAAGTGATATTTAGGGAAACACATATGTAAAAGATAAACAGAAGAGTTTTTTTTATCAAAATTGATTGTGGTGGTGATACACACCTTTAAAAGGAACATCTTGTGTTGTAATTTCCCACAAAACAATGCCAAAACTAAAAAGAGCATGTACAGTAAGTAACAGTCATCCTTTATTTTAATAAGATACACATTTAATATTTGAGTTAGTGTGCCGTACCTGTAGATCTCACATGCCTTGTCGTAAGGATGGTTGATATTCTGAAGCTGTTGGGGAGAACTGTAATGGAAAGCACTGTTCTTTTTGGATTTATTCTTCTGAAGAGAAGTTTCTGTTCTTGCCAACTCAAAGCCTCCCAACTTTAGAAACATACAAATGAGCATATACACAACATAAAAATTAGGATGAAACCCCAACAAGTAATATTCCCTTTAGGTTTAGGTTATGTTAAGTGTCCAGCACATTTAGAGTTTGATTAAATAAATATCTGTAAAAAAAAATTCTCTAAGAAGTTTTTTGTACTTTTTGATGCCCAAGACCCCCAAATATGATGAATCCTTATAAAATATAACATAAGCAATATTTTCTTATGTATAAAGAAAAATATATTAATAAGATATAACAAAGACAAAATTTACTGAAATCAAATACTGTAATTTAACTATTGACATTCAAATTACTATTAACAAATTATTAAAACATTGTATGGAAACTGTTTATTTTGTATTATGTTGACAACAGAATTTTTTTCTATCCGTTTTTGTATATACCGTTAAATGTACGAACCTATTTAAAACTTTCCACTGATTCCTGGACTAGGAATTCTCTAATTTCCCCAATTTATATTTAAAAATGTTATTTTCCTGGGTGTTGATTGGTCATTACAAAATTCCAGCCCTGCTATACACACAATGAATTCAGTAACAGAAAACCTGTTTACCTAGCTATTGTGTACATCCAGCGGTTAAAGTTTCCCTGTTAAACCCCTTCCAAAGAGCAGCCATTCCAAGCGATACAAAGGACGTACAACGAGTTCACTCCGGCTATCAAGAGCTATCATGCCCGCTGAGCACCAGTCCCAGTTAGATGGTAATGGCGGACTTAGGTTAAATCCAGGGTTAAAGTGGGATGAGTCGTGTTTAATAAAAATATGTAGTGGATAAATTATGGCAGTATTGTGAAAGAGAAAATAAATTACCTTCACTCTGTAGCCAGCTGCCACTAGAAAACTGCAGCTTCTGATGGAACCATGCACTTTAAACTTTTCTTCTGACTGATGCAATCTGTATTGTGCAAAGGATTACTACATATGTGATTGAGTTCCTTCACTATAGTATTTAAAAACTCTGTTTTTAGTCAAGAGACATAAATGAGAATAAATTAACTAGATTTGTACCTGTAGAGCCCCTGTGCTGCATCCAGACACATTCGAGTCTTTCTGTCCCAGGGCAGATTGCTATTACTGTCCAGGACTTGTCGAAGACTACCCTTCTCACAGTATTCCATGACTATCAAGTAACTTGGATTTGGTCCTGTAAGAAAACAATGACAATCAGATGTGTTTAACTCAAAAGTTCAATCTTTGAAAATATTTTTTAATTAGATTAGCATACCATTCTCATCCTGAACACAGATACCAAACATTCTTAAGATATTGGGTGACTCAAAGCGCTTCATGGTCTCCACCTCCTTGTTAAATACACTCCTCAACTCACTGGAGAGAATGAACAAATACAACAAAGAAATTTTATTTTTTTAATTAGTCAAGAATAGATGATGATTGCAACCATATAAGGGGCTTTCACATCGGATAGTTCCAGGAACTAACCACCGGAGTGGTTAGCGGACCTTTATTTTGACGGCGCTGAGAACGACTGAGCCTAAGCAAACAAACAGTGCTCGCATTCTCCGTGTTCATTAGTTTACGATCTGTCTAACACGTGTAGCGTATCTGGACAGCATCAGGGTGAATCATGCATTCCAACACTTGGAAACCGTTCTAACCCCTGGCTTCGGCCGGTAACTCACAAGTAGGGCGCCAGAGAGCCGGTGCCTAAGTGCGCCCATTGACACTTTTGTGGCATACGCGAGAGAAAACAAACAGATTCGTATCGCTCAACACCCCCCTCCCCGACAAGAAAGGAATTCCAAGTAGCCGAAGCAAAGCTCCCCCAACGCACACACACACACGGACGTTTCATAAAACATCCTCATATAAGACATTACTAAGATATATTCAATATGTTTTTATGTTCGCCTGCTTTTTATGTCATATTGGGGTATCTATGATTTTATCGTAGTATTAAATGAACTATAAGTGCTTGTAATTATGCATGCATTAGAATGTAACTTGGCAGTCCTGACCTTTTTACCTGTCCTTCTTGGTACTGTTTTAATCCGCTCTGTTTTAATCCGCTAACTGAGTTGGTCATATACGGGAGATTACAGTAAAATGTATGATTCTATGTGCACCAGCTTTCTTGAGTAGAAAGGACAACTTTTTAACGCCGCCATAAACTATGCAGATGAGCCGTCGTGACAGGACAAAGAAAGTCTTTTCCCTCTCGAATCTAAGGTGATTGGTCATTCACCCCAAAGGAGGTGTGAACGGCATTGTCCTTAAGAGGATGGAACGCCAGTTTCCAGTCTCTCTTCAACATCTCTCTTCTCTTCGAGATCTTCTCTTCAGTCCGTTTAGTTTAGTTTTGTTCTGTTTTCTTTTGTTTGTCTTTGTTTTCCCGTTTCATATTCTACTTTGTTCATTTCCACAGACGAGTGAAATGAACTTAGCCTGAATTATTTTCTTTGAGGAACTTCACGTTCAAGGGACCTTTAAATTTGCTGCGACTCCGTTCGCCCCGGAAGAACCACAGAGAACGCGCGACGCTCCGAAGGAATGACACACACGCACCTTCTTTATTCAGCAACACAAGAGAACCATATGTGCAAGTATTCGTTCTATGGAGCTTTCAATGCGTTTAAGATTTGTTTACCCCATTCATGGTGATTTGATTCCTTGTTGTTTCTCTCCCGAGGTTTTTGTCTGTGATTTTGCCATTGATCATTCTCTCCCTTTTCCTATCACTCTCTTATTCTCATTTTCTTTCATTGTTTGTTGCTTTATTTTGTTGTATATACATTTATTCCTTGTAACGTTATTCACCGGTATGTAGTTTTCCTTTATTAAATCCATTATATTCATTTATTGACTCTGTCTGTTGCTCATATTACGAAGTCCCTTAAATGTTTGATAAGCTACAAGCTTTACAATTTGTTAATACTTTAATTAGTATTTTTTATAAAACAGGAAAGTTATTTTTCATGGCCAGAAAGATAGCCTTTCTTGCGAGTCTATAAGGATAATTTCTCTTGAGGATTGACGAAAGATCGTACGATCAGTTTGCTGAATGAACAGATTATTCGACAACAAATGAATTCCATAAGGGTTATCCTTGGAATCGATCTATCCTAGACAATTGACATCAATATTTAATTATAATTCGTTGTGATTGATTATTGATATATACAATTGATCTATTTTTGCCTACCTGTATGGATAATTGATTATAATCCGTTGTATTTAAGTGTCCATACAGATACATTGGCAACGTATCCCCTTTACGGGTAATTTTAATCTGTGTATGCGATCCCTGGTCATAATCATGATCAGTTATTAAAATTATATTCCCTTTATTTGAGCTAGACTCGCTACACACGTTATTAGATAGAACTGTTATACATAGAAAGTAGATAGTGTATGCAAAGTTATTAGCGTATGCCGTGTGGTTGATGTCCAGTGTTGCTAGCTGAGCAGAAATAAATTATCATATTTAGCTTGGTCCCCTCAAAGTTGCATTGAATTTTCTCCTCAGCGTAAAGGTTAAGAGGCCCATCTATCACTGTTTGCCATGTCCGTAGAGTTAGTTTCTGGAGTAAATATATAGGCTATAATCTGTGTGTTTACAAAGCTTATTAAAACATGGCGGGTGCTGGTGTTTCGCGTGCGTTCGGCCAATCCGCTTACACTAACGTCACGGATAGTTCCTATAGTGCTGGTTTAGACCCTACTCTGAAGTAGGAGCTAAATTAGTTCCTCCAAAAGAGTTCCTAGAACTAAAATCGTTCCTAGTTCCTGCGGTGCGAACACGTCGACATCCGGTACCTCTGCCAATAGTTCTAGGAACTATGAAAAGGTTCCTCTCACTCATAATAAAAATGGAATGACATGATAACATTTGACCACAAAATATATTTTATTACTATTATGGAACAATTTCCCATAACCAGAGTCTGCCATTAACATCTACCTGGGGCTGGGGTTGGTGTTCAGCGGGCATGAGTATCTCTTGATAGCCACAGTGAACTTGTTGTACATCCCTTTGTATAGTTCGGAATGGTTGCACTTCAGAAGTGGTTTAGAAGGGAAACTGTAGGTCAGCTCTTCTGGTTTAATCTCTCTAATGTCCTGCAGATGAAGGCAGGGTTTTTTCACTAAAAAACAAATGACAAATAAAAATGTTCAGTTTAGCAACCATTCTAAATATTAATTCAGCAATGCTAAACATTTCTGAAAGCTTCATAGACGCCTTGAAATTCTTAAAAAATAAAAAGCCATGGCCTTTTATAATTATTTCTTTCATCTATACTTATTTAATACAAAAAAAAAAAAACAGAACAAAAACAAAAAAGAACAAAGTCATGTGGTGCAACCAACATGCAAACAAAAGTAACAAAATATGAAATTCTGTGTGTCTGGGTCAATAAGTCTGTTGAAACATTTTATGACAAGAAAATTTTGTTCAGGTTGTAAAATGTCATGTAGTGTAATACGTAAAATGAGTCTAAAATGTCACTCTTAATTGATATTTATGAATTAATAATATACATATACTGTGTGTGTATATATATATATATATACACACACACACACACATACACACATTTCTTTCTTTTTTGTTTACAGTTTTATTGACCAACTTGTTTGTACTTACATGACTCCAGGACGTCTTTAATGCCCTGCACATCTCTTTGCGTTTGGTCAACTGTCTTTTGCACAGCATCAACTGTCATGTTCATTTCTTTGCCCTCCTGGGCTAAAGACTGGAGCACTATTAGAAGGAAAATTTATACCATGTAATACGTAGTTGTATCCTACAAAGTAGCCATTTTAATCCAATTCAAATCCATACAACAATAACTTTAAGTAGCCTATAACTTACAATTCCGAAGTTCCAGAAAGTCACTCTGCCTGTCTTCTTCATCTTCCCGTTGCCTCGTTGCTTCTTGAAACACTTTCTCTATACTCCCTCTGTGCTCGACCTGAAGCGCTAGAGAAAGTAACTGAGCCGCATCGTTCAGCCTTTCATTTAGGCCGTTGAACTCCTCGCCGAGTTCATACGCTTTCGTGATACGTTTAAAATAGCTGAGGGAAGTGTATTTCCTTACTACCCTCTCTGCTGACTCCAGAGTGAGTTTAAGTTGTTTAAGTCCATTTATAACCTGTTCAGGCTCAGTCCCAAAGCCATGAACCTTCACAGATTCCACCAGCTTAGCCAGAGTGGACACACGGTGGGCTAAACGCTTGCAGCGCTTCTTGTTGGTCTGGACCTCCCCACATAGGGCGTACAGTTTTTCTGCAATGGCCAGAATTGGTTCTATGATGTCCATCGCAGCTGGAAATAAAATTAATTTAAAAATAAATATTTCTAAGGTTAAGTGTCTTGGATGGCGGAGGCATGATGTCAAGTTGTCACAATGTAAATCTACTGTTTACTGGCTGATTTGTGAAAGATGCTTTATTTTGAAATATAAAATAATCTCTAAAGCAAACAAATCGAGTACAGATTACTTAACTGGTAAATTTGCAATAATGTCAACAGTAAAAATTAAACAAACCAATTTGTTAAACAAAAATGGAAGAGATAAAGAGAAAAAAAAAACGTGACTATTACTAAATACCTTATAGAACATCTAGGTTACTATCTCTGATGGATGGATCGGATACGCTATGTCAGAACTGGGAGCTCAATCACCTTGGAGTGTAAACTAAACGAGCCAATGCACATTGGCATGCGAGATCTGCATCTCGCGCCTCGCAAAGCGGATATATAAGGAAGCACGCGCGTGATCGCACTTCAAACTGTGTGCCGAGGACCCGAGACGGTGTGTGCCGGCCATTCAGCAGTGGAATAGCAATTGTGGCAATAGAGAACAAAACAACAATTGCTGCCCCTTCCAGCTCCCTGTGTGAGCCGCTTAATCCAACCACACCTACTGGGGCGGAGAAAGGACAGGGCTTTATGCAGGGAGAGTTGACCACTGCTCCTCTTGACCACACAGTGAGACTATTGGATAACACTGGGAAAAGTACCTATGGAAAGGAATGCTACGGAGACCACATCCTGCCCGTAGGGAGGTGTCATGTGGGTATTACACATATGGACTGGCCAACCGGGCAGTGCTACATATGAAGGTCTCTGTGGTAGATTCAGCCTAGCTAGGGTGAAGTCAATACCGAGCAGAGACGGAAGAGTGTGCTCTGCCAAGGGAAAGACACAGGGAATTGATTGGGAAGCCGTTCCGTGGAAGAATACACATGTGGGATCGCCTGTAAGGCAATCACAACACATGGGCACCTAGTCTAGCACAGGGACTGACTTTCTGGGCATACACATGAGTTCTAGACATAGTATCGGACGCCTTCACCGTGTCTGACCGCCGAGGGTGCTGGAGTAACTCCATGCAGGGTTCGCCAGGTGGGGAACTCACCTGTAGAGCAAATAAGCGCAGGTATCCGGTCCTAAAAGGGGAATAGCGCTGCAAGCGAGACACCGAGCGGGTCCTCAGCGTTACTGGCTACTTGTGGCGAGTACAAGGGAGGACACAGGCTCTACATGGAGGTTGTAAAACCTCACCAATGTGTTGGGTATCGCCCGCAGCTCTACAAATGTCTGCTGTCTGCTAGCGAGGCGCCGTGCGGAATCCAACATTCTGGGTCAAAGGAGCCCTCACCCCCAGGGGGCATGGCTGATCTTGGGCTTGGTAGCCTGGAGGACAGCCTTTCCCTTCTGCTGTCCTCGATAACAGACAAAGAGCTGTTCTGAGGTCCTGAAGCTCTGCGTTCGGTCCACGTACAGGCGCAGCAAGGGCTGGGTCTGCCACCTCCAGGGGAAGAGCTTGCAGGTTCACCACCTGGACCCTGAAGAAAGTGGTGGAAACTAGGGCTGCACGATTTGGGGAAAATGTCATATTGCGATTATTGAGGTCAATATTGCGATATGCGATTGCGATATAATAAACAAATGATTTCATGAGTCAACTTGCTTGGTTCTAAAGCAAAATGCACACACAGATTAGTGATAATTCTGAAATGTGTTTTTACTCAACTCAAACTAGCAACAACAACTAAATGATTGATAATATCTATAATGATCAATAAGCCATTGATGTCTGGATAAAAATGGTGGCAGGGTGCAGCCGGTGACATCGATCGATGCAGCGATTTCGAGAGTGCATTATTGTAACGCGAGAGAGCATCCATGTAACAAATCTCTCCACTCGCAGGCGGATTTCTTTCACTCGCGCACAAAACTGGACGTGTGCTCGCAAATATGCCATGGTCTCGTGGCTCTCGCTGAGATATTATGTGTGCGTGCTCAAACGTTGTCCTGTCCGCTCTTGAATCTCTACTTGTTCTTTCTCTAGAATTGTCTTGCCAGAAGCTTGCCAAATGTTGCCAGAAGCTTTCAGCCAACAGACTTTCATGATTGACTTTGTTTCATGAGATAGCATTTACAAGCTGAATTGACTCTTGCTCTCTGCCTTCGTTTTAGTTGAGTGTGATGACTGAATATCCTCACTATATTAAAGGGGTCATATAATGCCATTTTTGTACAAGCTAATATGATTCTTTAGGGTCTAAATTAAAAGTTTGTAATATAGTTTAATTAAAAATTCTCATTAGTATTGTAAGAAAACACTTATTTTACCTGGTCAAAAACAGCTCTGTTTTCAGCACGCCGTTTCAGTGCATATGACTTTAAATGATAATGAGCCTCGCTGACTCCGCCCCTCTGTTCTGTGCGTATACCGTTTGTAACTCAATAACACAATAACCATAACGCGTTGTTCAGTATAAACGTGGGATTATGAATTATATTGAGAACGTCATACATAGAAAACATGCCGTAATGTACCCTGAGTGTAAACCTTAGACGCATTCATTGTGAAGCGTGCAGCTAGCGATTTGCAAAGATTAATATATTAATATAAAGTTTAATAAAACGTTACACTCACTTCCGTTCTTCTGGAGATTCAGCAGGAACACGAATATCTGGTACCGATCCTTTTTTCATGAGCAGCTTCTTAGCAAATCCAGCTTTATACTGATCCTCGTTTATAAAGCAGTCTGGTGTGTGAAATGATTCGCGCAAACATGAGAGCATTGACGTTGCTCGTGGGGAATATTCCCTTCGAAAACAAACACAGCCACTGCGTCTTCAGCGGTTCAGATTTAGGAACATTAAAATGACTGCTGTGTTCGTTATTACACCCAAGAACAGAACACCACAATCGCTTAGACGCCATTCTGCTCATAGACAGTGCTCCAGCATATCAACAATGACCGCGCCGGTCCGCGCCGCGCAGACTATGATTGACAGCTCCCTCATGAGCGAGGGCGGGTCTTTTTTTTAAAAACGCTCCTGTCAATCAACAATCGTGGGAGGGGCGTGCGAGCTTGTGACGTCACAGGCTCGAACGGCTCGATTTGAGGCAGGGGAAAACATATAAGGAGATTAAAACAAAACCACTGGATGGTTTTTATCATTATATGATGGTTGTGTACAGACACTGCCAACACACATTTCAGTACAATCAACTTGTAAAAGTGCATGTACCATTATATGACCCCTTTAAGCGAATTGCGCTTCTTTGTAAAAGGCAGCAAGTGCAGGAATCCCACTGATTGATTTAGCAATGTCATGGCTGACGAGTTGCGCCCTGCATCCCAATTCTTATAATTCGCATGAGAATGTTCGTTCGATCCATTCATCCATCCATCCATCCATCCATCCATCCATCCATCCATCCATCCATCCATCCATCCATCCATCCAGTAGAATAGATAATTATTGAAGGAGGGAGGGGGCTAGAGGAGTGGGGTGCCCACGGAGAGTGGCTCGGCGGGAGAGCCCCCACTGTAATCCTCAGGTCACCCTGTTTATTCATGGAAGTAGCTCCTTTGTTGGCCAGCAGAGGAACTAGATTGGGGCATATCAAACGCAAAAACGCAACATTGCGATGGTCATCTTCCCGCAGTGGGTACATGACTCATCCACAAAATCCACCTCAGCGTGCTTTAAACCCAGACACATAAGGCAGCGATCGTGACTGTCAGTGCTTCGTTACATACCGGCTTCACTGGGTGCGTAATGCAAACCTTGCACGCCAATATGATGGCTCATTTAGTTTACACTAGAAGGTAATTGCTCTCAGGCGAGTTCTGAATTCTTCAGTTCAGTTCTGACGTAATGTAACTGAATATACGGAAATATATCCATCACGATAATTTCCCCATGACAACTAGACCTAGTTGACAACTAGACCTAGTCCCCTCTAAGTGAAAATAACTAGAGATTTTTTTTCAGATATGAAATGTTTATCAGATTACCTTTAAACCTACTTCCTACATTAAACATCTATATTTCACATGACAACTTCAGTCTATATAGCTAACAGATGCTCAGAGGGTGCAAAGGTTTTACAGTTTTATTATACAGGCTTCAAACAGGTTAAATTTTAAATACATTTTTAGTGGCTTTCATTGTTGCTTCTGAATGAAGAAATTAAACAAATGCAATTATGGAAAAACAAACTTCAGAAGAAAATGAAGGCAATACATGTCAAAGACATAAAATGTTTTATGGCATCTATTCCTCATATGCATTATAATGAAAGGAGAAGTGAAACTTACAAAATCAAATCAATGCGCACCATTTTCTCATTCCTGTTAGAACCACTATTCTTGTCATTATAAATGTTTCCAATGAAAGGTATACTACCATAAAATAATTGAAGAAAGTTAAGTATCATTGAAAACTTCTTCAATACTGCATGTTAAAATGAGACTACCTTGTCTCTTGAAAAGAAACTCAGGAAACCAAAGTTACTTTCACAATCGAATGAAGCAGAAACCACAAACAGGAAGTTCATTGAGATATCTCCTTTCATTTTGAGCTTGCCACTGCTTTTTCAGCACATCATCAGCTAAAAATCATGTTTCCCTTCATACCTAAAAATGTTATATGGAGTATTCTAAGACTTCTTTGTTGACTTTGTCCTGGTTATCCTTTCCAGCCTTTGTACACTTTGTGTCTTTGCATTTAAAAGCTTATATTACAGGTTCTTCTAAAGCAGAGCACAACTTTTCTTACAAACCCTCCAAAATACTTTTAGATCGAATAAAAATAGATATAATAATCGTAAGTTTGAAAGAAAAACAGAAGTAAATGTATTATGATTATAGCACAATGACTGTAAAAAAACAAACAAAAAAACAATTACAAAATACATTATAAATGTAAATACATAACTTATACTTACTTTTAAGTTACTATATCTTGTCAAAACGGGCAAAAACACCATTCAGTCTGACAGGAATGTGAAAACAGCTAGTCTCAGTCAGGGGCGAGGCCAGACATGTTCAAGGGGCTGGGCCTTCATAAAACAGGGAGGGCAAAGGGTAGAGTATGAAAACTGCACAGCAAATTAGCAAGAAAACATAAAACAGCACTGTTTAAAGTTCAAAGTTTCAAAACAGGAAACAACAACAAACCACCTATAAAAACTATACTGTAAAAAATGTCCACTTTCTTTCAACTTAACTTAAGTTCTGTTGCTTTTTTAAATTATGTATAATTGTTTGGGTGTACAAATCATTTCAACTTAAATTACATTAAAACTAACTTTAAGTTGAATCTCATGTAAAAACATGTTACCATGACTTATCTTTTTATTTTATTTTATTTACAATGGATGAAAAAACAAAATGGCTCTTCCTTTTTCTATCAAGTATGTCAGTATAAATATTAGACCTATATGAATTAATGTTTAGAATTTTTTAACTGTAAACATTGAAAATATTAGTACTTACCTCTACATGTCTGTTACGGGTGTGGTGCAGGTTGAAGGAGAGGCAGAGTCAAAAGGCTCCAATTCAAACTGTTACGAACCGTTGTGGGTCTAGGGCTGGTACCGCAACATTTATATATTGAGTGTACTGCTGGAAGTGGCGTGTGGTGGAAAAACACATGTCAGACTCATTTTGAAGAGAAAATAACTGGAATTTATTTTCATAAGCCAAAGCCACTAAATCCAGTCAAATAATAATGTGTGCTATACAATTAATGATAGGGTGAATAAACAAACAATAAATAGGAAAAGAACAAAAGTGGCGCCAAAAGAAAGAACGCAAGATAACAAAACACTCAACACGCAAAATGTAGAAAATAAACCGAAATCTTCGGTGCATCCGGCACCCTAACTAAACTATCTAATAAAACAGAAATACAAGGAGTGGCGCTCACTTCTTACCTGGTGTGTCTAACAATTATCTGCTACGGGTGCAATGTATATCGCGATATACTTGCCTATGTTCTTTCCCCAGAAAAGCAAACAAAAGGTAGACAACACAAATGAATCTCACCAATCCAAAAGGAAAACATGTCAAGTACAAAGCACATAGCACAACACTCATTCAGGCAAAAGCATACACAAACTCATTCCGCTACTAAGAGCACAAATCACTACAAAGAGTACAGATCACTACAAAGAGCACAGATCACTACAGAGAGCCATAGTTCTGTAACGAATCACACAATAATAATATACATAAAATGTATTTAAGGGGGGCCGGAAGGCCAATTTAGCTCAAAAGGAATGATTCATCGATTTGCAATGAATCTTGACCGAATCACTATGGAACCGAGCAAATGACTCGTTTAGAGTTCATTTGAACGGGCCGTAATTATAACCTTGGCAACAGATATGAATATCCAATCTATAGTGAAACACTATGTATTAGCAAGGTAACTTTAGATCGACAGTACAAGACATTAAATGTGCAAGCACAACACAAGGCAAATATCTTTTCAAATATATTGACGACTTTATTAACTATTCTAAACACATAAAACTAAGGTCTAAACACAATCACACACACGCATTCATACAAGGCGCAGAGGAAGAGAGAGAGAGAGAGAGAGAGAGAGAGAGAGAGAGAGAGAGAGAGAGAGAGAGAGAGTGAGTTTTCAGAGTGAGATGCACTTTGTAAGACATGACCTGAACGAACCACCAAGCATTAATTTAAACCTTCGTTTCTTAGACAGGTTATTCAATTTACATTTGCACCAGTTCAGTTAAGAGTCTGGAGTAGCTGCTACTTGCTTGTCTTTGCGTTGCTTAGGGAGTTCCCTTTTTGCGGTGCTTCGTCAAAGGGGTTTCCCGACCGGGTCCGTGTGGCTGGTTGTCTTTGAAGTGCCTGGATGGAAGTTTCTGAACAGCCGGTCACGTGTAATTGGCAGGCGAATAAGAGTCTTTACAGTTCGAAGCGCGTTGCAGGAGAGACGTTTAAACGAACTTCGCAGCAACTTAACGTTGAACCGAGACTTTTATGAAAAAAGAAAATAAAGGAAGAAATGAAAGTAAGACGAGTTAGATGGCTTGAATGAGCTGTTTCAACCCCGATCTTGATGGGTTATTTGTCTGCTGGTCTAATTTGGTCTGGTCGATGTAGAAGCGTGCGAACACGCTCTTTGTTGTTTTCAGAGAGAAGCACGAACAGGAACACTCTCTTGCTGTTGCTAGAGAGAGGCGCAAAACTTAATTCAACACCGAACCGAACTCAAAACCGAACGGCAACCCCGAACTGCTCTCTGAACCGAATTTCTTTTTCAACAACTCTAACTCCTTTGTTTGGGTCTTTAACTTAAACGTTAGTCCAACCTCTTTTAGAGAATTCTGACCAATGAGACAATGGCATCATTTTAGGAGGTGGATCGTTCCTACTTATCGTTATCTGGGATCTGCTTGGGTTCCAGCACTTAGCAGAGAACAAGAGACCCCAGTTTAAACATTATAGATTATTATAATCATACAAAACATTTTACACAGATTTCAAACAAGCCACCTTTTGAATTAAGTGCATACGATTCTTTTGATTGGAAGCACGATACCCTTTCATCCATACACACAGTTATATCACAATTACATGATTTATATGTGATCTACGCATAATACAAACATGAATTGTAGGAACAACAAGAATTATGATGTTTGATTAAGTCCACGGAGCATTGTTCTGCGTGAGTTTTAATGGGTTTGATATGTAAAGTCTGTGTAAGTCTCTCACGTTCCATGGAAGCGTGGTCTGTCTTACATCGCTGTCCTGCTCAGCAGTGGTGATGCTGAGGGAGGTCAAAGGTGGTCAGGCCCCTTGGTGGTCAGGCCTCGTCTCACCATTTCTGAGCAGCTTTGTCTTGCTTAAGGATGAAACAGTGACAACGTTCTTCCTGTTTAGGCTTATCTCTGATGCCTGCGGGGCCATAAAAAGACTTCTCTGGGGGGTTTTCTAGACAATTTGGAGCCAGTCTTGTGACTTTGGAATGTGGTATTCAGATCCGAAATGCTGAATCACATTTGAATGAATCCCATGAGAGATTAGAAAGATTAATTCGTGTTTGGTTCATCCTTAAAGTCTCTACATATTCCCCCCTTTGATCGATGATGGGTTGAGAAGAAGACATCATTGAACGCTGGAGAAACAGAAGAAGCAAACACACACAGCAAACAACACGGCAACCACCTCCAAGACTGGTCACTTTACTGGTGCAGGGCATTAGATTATCTAGGCCTAAAACAGGTTCACTCTCTCAATGTAGTCAATCATGTGGAAAAAGTTTAGTTCAATTTTAGGACCGTTATTCTAGTTTGTTTTAAAACGGTGATTGATCAACTTTGTGACTAAATTTGGTTTGTTTGTTTTATTCTCTTCTAAATTGTTCTAGGTTTAGACCAATTTACCTTTCACATTTTAATTCGAATGATGCAGGGAGTTCTCTAGGCTAACATTCGTCAGGCGTGGTGCGTCAATCCTTATATGGTAACCTTGACCCTTATGGGGTAACAGGGATTTTACCTAATAAAGGAAGAAGAAAAGGAAGAGGTAAAACAAAACCAAGCAGTTGAGTGACTCCTGTATGGCTACTGTTGTGCAGTGTCAGGTGTCACAATGTAATGAGAGGGTTATACTTGTTGGGTGTATTGCTACATGTTTCCTATGGAAAGGATAGCTAAGTCAGTGTTGCGATTTCCGTGTCTACCTGTGGGAAGAACATGTTTGTTGAATGTTTTTCACGGTAGCTGTGTTTAACTTGTGTATGTTAGTGGTACAGTGTAGTGTAGTGCATGTACTGCATGTATGTCAGATCTGTCACAGTCTGTTTTGCTTCCCCCTTTGCTTGATGGCTTAGCTTTGATGGGCTTGTTGCGTCTTTGCCTTGGAAAGGGATCTTCGGTGATCTGCTGGGGGTCAGTCCAGTAAGGCAGGAAGTTCTCTGGCAGACATTGGGAGGTGGTTTGGCATGGATGCGTGAAGCTGTAGTGCAAAACGTGGTCTCCTTTGTTGCCTTCCTCTTGTGATGCCTTCTGGTCGTGACAGATTTCTGACCTTCTGTGCTTACTGTCGTTGCTGTAGCACACACATGGTTCTTGAGTTTGGAGCTTGTGGTGTGATCGGTAACCAGGATGCTGTTTTCTGGTACCTCTGGGTGTTTGTCAGTGGTTGACTGTGAGAGACCACTTTGTTCTGGGTTGTTGTAGAACAGGTGGTCGTCTCGGGAAGGTGTACAAGGTGATCACTGGTCTTCTGTGTTCAGCTTGTCTTTGATTAACACTTGCAGTTGCCTCAGTAGTTGCTCCATGTCTTCTGAGGGGAGACTGTCGTGTTCTTGGGCACACTCAGTGTGGTGTTTGGCTGAGTGGTGCGGAGGTGGGTTTCGTTGTCGCTTACCCTCATAGAATGCTTTTGGATGCACTCGTTGATTCCAGTTGTTTCCTTCTGGTGGGTCCCATGACTTTTCCATGTGGTTGGAGTGGTAGCTGTCATCGGCATGGGAGTAACGTCCTCTGTGCTCCTTATGAAGGACTGTGGAGTTGTCATGCCACTGGGTGTCTTCCAGTGCAAGGCTTGTGTCTTGGCTGATGGAGTTTAACACTGTGGATGTTTTCAAACCTTTCTTTGAGGCCATCTTTTGTTTGATGTAGGCCTTGTGTGTCAGGTCACGTAGCTGCTGAATTGTCATTGTGCCTGGGCAGGCCATGATGCCAAGATGATGACTCAATCCAGGGTGCAGGTTTCTCAGGAAGAGGGTTTTGAAGTTCACCTCCTCTTCAAGTTCAGGTTTGCTATGTGCACCTAAGTAAGCTTGTCGAAAGCGGTGGTAGTAGGCTTGGGGAGTCTCTTGTCGACATTGTTTGGTTTCCAAGGCGATTAACACACCGTGTTCTGACTCTGGACCTGTAAATTCTTTAATCAGTGTCTCACGTAGTAGCTGGTAGTTTGACATGACATTAGCAGGTTGTCGGTCTAGAAAGCTTCGTACCTCTGGACTGGATGTGGATCTGAGGAGGCATAACCTGTCTCTGTC